GGCCAAGGAACCTGACCTTCAACCTCCGCAGGCAGATGGGCCCCTCTCTGCACAGCCACAGCAATGATGCTCCCTGACAGGAGGTAGAGGGCGATGCTCAAGAGATTCAGCCACCAAACCACCTGCATGGAAATGAGATCAGGAAGGTGAGAGGAAAGCCGCAGCTCTCCACAGGCCCGGCCTGAGGGTCCGAGCCGGGCACATGTGGGCACTCACCGGGTTGCCGAGCAGATACACTCGGAAGTCTGTATCGTTGATCCCTGAGAAGCGCAGGCCCTGTGGAGCAGAGGACACACTGCTGATCCAGGGCCCAGTTCATCCCAGCTGCGTGCGTTCCAGGGGGAGAAAGATTGGTCACCGTTCACAGACGGGAGCCTGTAGAGAAGGCTCAGAGGGTGCACATTCTACACGAACTCTCTGGGAAGGCTGGGTTAGAATCAGGGCAGAAAACAGAGCCCCATCTCTGGCCACCCTATGCCAGGCAAGACCTCACCCTGTCAACCCAGCACATCTCCCTTGCCCAGTCTCAAAGGTCTCTTTCTCAGGTCCTTTTCCCAGGAGAAGCTCTAGCCTTGGGCCCTACCTGATAGTTGATAGGCCAGTGCCAGGGTTTGGATGTGAATTCATTGTCGTTGGGTTTGAGGCCATTGTTACCCTACAAGAAAGTGGCAAAGAAAAGCTAGTCAAGGCAGATGGAGAGGGCTGACAGAAATGTGAGGCACTGGTATCTCTGATACATGGCCAAGTGTCAAGAGAAAACCCCTCCCCCACCTTCGCTTGCAGGGAAGAACAAAGCGCTCATTCTCAGTCACTGACCACCTGCTTCCAGCCACCTTACTTCTCCCAATGAGAGAGCCTCCAGTTCCCACCAAAGACAGTCCAGTCAGACCCTCTCTGCTGGAGAAAAAAAAGGAACGAAGGATCTGTTTCCTTCAGGCCAAAGATAAGTGTCCAGAGGGTGAAGGTGGGGCATAAAAAATCAGGACTGACTTATTTGTTCCCTCGTAAGGTCAACTTCAAACACAAACCCAGAAATGCCAATGAGTTCCTAGACTTTAAAAATTTTACTTTAGTGTTTCTCAACTTTTTTCATTTTATCTCCTCCCAAACTTTTCAGATTTTTCTTCCCTAAACACGCCCCCCTGCCATTTTAATACCATAGCTACACTGTAAATACATTTATATCCTGTATGAATACCTGTGCTTTATACATTAAAAAATTAAGGTCTGGCTCTCCAAGAACACATTTTACCCACTGAAAATGCTGTCACTCTGGTGAGAATGCACATAGCCTGAAGGACCCAGCCCCAGCTCCTTTAATCCAGTAGCCAAAAATATTCAACAACCTGTCTCCACATGGCAAAATCAGGCCTTGGCTGAAACAGGAAGGAAAAGAATCGGGATCCTGGATACTGGCCATCAGGATGGGCACTAGCCTCATTTCCAGGACACACTGAGCAGGCATGCCCAGAAGAGGAGCACGGTGCTATGAGTCAGGTCGGGGGTTCTCTTCCTCAATCCTACTGACATTTTGGGCTGAAGGCTTTGGTGTGGGGCTGTACTGTGCAGTGCAAGATGTTTAACAACCTTGGCCTCTGCTCACTAGATGCCAGAGGCCCCCCTACCCCTCATTTACGCCAGCCAGAAATGTCTCCAGACATTGCCAAATATCCTCTGGGAGGAAAAATCACCTTCTGTTGAAAACCACTGGTCTAGCCCAAGAAAGATTCAGGAGGTGTGGCTCAGTGAACTGCCACCCAGTGCCTTACTAAGTCCTCGAGGCCTCCCCATGGTGGCTGGGTTGCTTCTCCAGGGTCAAAAGTGCCATGGGGGATGTCGGACCCAGGAGCCAGCTGCACAAACCCTCAACCACTATGGCTATCTGAAGGGCCTCAGAATGAAGAATGAATCGTTCTGGATCCCAGAGCATCTGCAGAGGGAAATCAATTCCTTCAAACGAGTATAGTTCAGTCCCAAACTTGGGGACTCCAGCCAGGTATAACAAGTCAAAGACATCCTATTCACTCCATTATACTCTGAGAAATCCAGCCCCTTTACTAAACCAAGATATAAAAGGAAGGAAAAATCTGTAACCATTATAGGTATGTGCATTTGTACATTATTCACTATGCTTAAAAACTAGAGTGGGCCTGTTCCAACTAAACTCACAGGTAAGGCAGCCTTTTCCACCCAGGCCTTAGACTCTCCACTCAGCTGGCAAAAAAACCCTCTCTCCTGTGGTTTCTATGGTCTGAACTATTTCAGTCTCTCCGCACCCTGACTACATTGGCTGAGTAAGAAAGGTGCCCTATATCCTTTTTCTTCTTTGACTCTACCTCTTAGATAATGAAAGAAGAAATGAGACTATTTAGACTTAGTCTTAAAATTCTATCCAGACCCATAATGATATTTTGACTGACAGGCACATATTCAAAAGAGCTGTATCATCAGGCCACCGTGACAGCTACAAGCAGAGTCAGAGGAGAAGTGACCCAGAGATTGCTTAATGGCAATTCATCACCTCTCGATGTGCAGAAATGACAAAATTTGAAGTTTTAAAATTTAATCTGGTGACTTAAGTCAACTATATTTACTGATACTGCTTACATAATCACTTCCAGAAAAGTCCACTTGACAATGGCTCATCAGGGGAAAAATAACAACTGCTACACCTCTCTGTAACCCTGTGGGTAGAGTGGTAATCACATCTCTGGCTTGAGATACAGTGATCCTTAAACATCAATCCTACAGAACACCGGTTTCCCCCAAACCAGAGTAAAGGGGTCTCCCCCTACACATCAAAGCTGCAGCAGGATTTCTCTAACTCACAGGGAAAAATTTAAGCTAGTGGGTAGAATTTGTCAATTTAAAGATTTCTACTCTCGGACCTGAACAAACACTTTTCCCAAGAAGACATACAAACAGTCAACAGATATCTGAAAAGATGCTCAACTTCACTAGCTATTAGGGAAACACAAACCAAAACCACAATGAGATACTACCTCATACCTGTTAGAATGGCTGTCATCAATAAGACAAGAAATAACAACTGCTAGAGAATATGTGAGGAAAAGGAACCACAGGTGAGAATGTAAACTGGTGCAGCCACTACGGAGAACAGCATGGAGGTTCCTCAAAACATTAAAAATTACAAATAGAATTACCATATGACCCAGCAATCTCTCTTCTGGGTATCTCCCCGCAAAATTGGAAAACAGTTAACTGTAAAGATATATGCGTCCCTATGTTCATTGCAGCATTATTCACGGTGGCCAAGACATGGAAACAACCAAAGTGTCCTTCAATAGATGACAGGATAAAGAAGATGTAGTATATATATATACAACAGAATATTATTCAGCCATAAGAAAAGATGAATACTGCCCTTTGTGACAGCATAGATGGATCTTGAGATTATCATGCTAAGCAAAATAAGTCAGACAGAAAAAGGTGAGAACCATATAATTTCATTCATATGTAGGATATAAAACTGAAAGTAATAAATAAGACAAATCGTCAAACAAAAACTCACAGACAACAGTTCAGTGGTTATCAGAGGGAAAGGAGGTGGGGGGAGATAGAAAAGAGCAAAGGGGGTCAAACATATGGTGACGGAAGGAGATTGACTCTGGGTGGTGAACGCACAATGCAGTATACAGATGATGTATTATGCAACTGTACACTTGAAACCTACATAATTTTATCAACTAATGTCACCCCAATAAATTTAATAAAAATAGAGAGTTCCTCTCTCAGTTATTCTTAAACCTTTGATGCTTCAACTGCTATCAGCTACTAATGATACAGAGTACAAATACTAAGTCTTAGAAAACCTTAAAAAAAATCAACCATGCCCCCTAAATGGTGTGTTTCTGTCTGAGAACATGAGTGGGCTTGTGGTTGAGATTTTATGCTACATGTAAATCACACACTCAAACTAGCTATTCATTCAAGTTGATCCTAATTTCATACAATGGATGAACTATCAGTGTCTCATCTTCAACCAAGAACACTCTGATTTTTCAGGGGCTCTGCCACCTGAACTGATTTGAGAATCACTGAAGCCGAGGAGTGCAGTAGTAACTAGCACTGACTTTGAAATTCTGCTAGCCTGGCTTTGAAGCCTGGATCCACCTCTTATATTTAACTGTGTGACCCTAGGCAAGTTCCTTAATCTCACTGTGTCTCAATTCCCTCATCTGTAAACTGGGAACAATAATCTCCATAGGACTAAAGTAAGTATTAAATAAGTTAATATATTACAGTGCTTAGAGTACAGCCTAGCACATAAGAAATACATAAGTGTTCACTACCATCGCCATTATCACCATCATCATTACCATGATCATTCTGTGATAAGGGAAATGCCTTTAAAGATCAATTAAACCAGTAAGTGAAGACACTTCCAAAGTCCTCCATAAGGGGCAGTAGATCTATACCACGGCTACTGATCTGTGATCTGAATTTGTGGATGGTCCAGAGCTCTTAGAGAAACCACCAAATGGGAGGGAGCCATAGTACCCGGATCATCACCATGTGGGACTCCAGCAAGATCTCAGGAAAACTGGGCTGCAGCACATCCAGGCTGATGTTTGGCACTAGAAAAAGAAATGACAGGAGAAAACTTTGATCATACATTCTCTCTCCTTGCTGTTCATGTTATCCACACCACTGCCAGAGTCTGAGGGTAGCTTTCCTGACAAGCTGACCACCAAGTAGATGAAAGTGTTGAGGAGATGGAAGAAAGCTTGGCCCAATTCTTGATTATTCATTCAGCATGTATTAATCTCTCATCAGGCATTCTGAGAAATACAAAGGCAACAGAAGACAAGGCCTGTCCGTGGTGCTCCCCTAGCTCTCAGCACCATCACCCTTCGTTTCGATACTGGCTCACATGCTGCTCTCCCCTGCTAGGCAGAAGGTCTGTGAGAACAGGGACCAAGTCTATCTCATTCAGCAATATATCGCCAGGGCCCCACATTATTCTCATCATACTCAATAAAGAGTTATTAATTATTGGTTGGTTAAATTAGGTGTAAAAAGAATGAAATGGGAAGCACGGAGAAGAGAGGAGAAATCAAGCAGAAGCATGAAGAGAGTAATTTAGGAGGACAGATGATGAATCCAAAGACTCACTGAGTTGAAGATGACACTGAAGTGGAAATGTCAAACTGGAGCCTGGGAGTATAGCTGTGGGGCCCAGATCAAGGGCTGTGGCTGTCACTTTATGTAAAAGCGTTGACTGGTTGTAGGGAGGGGTGGAACTCCACACAGGGACACAGGGGAAAGTACCAGCCTGCTCCAAGCCTTGAGGGTGAGGAGGTACTCGTGGTGCAGGAGACAGAAGAGTCCAGAAGGAGACAAGACAGATAGGCCTGCATTACAGGTGGCAAGGGGGAGAAGAGTCCAATCCAGCAAGAGGCAAGGAACATGCGAAGAGGTTTATTTTTCTAAGATAAGAATTACTTATGTTTCCCTTCAGAGCCAGCCCAGGAAGTGACCTCACTCACATTTAGGATTGATATGGTCCTCCACATTCCAGATGGAGTTCAGGGTTTCCTTAAGGTATGGAGTGCAAGTAACTTCCACCTGCTCCCAGCCCCTGAGAAAAGTAGTTACAGATGTCGCTCAGAAGACCTGAAACTCACTGGAGGGCAGCACTGTCGACTGCTCTTGAATTCATGGAACCCCTCTCTTTTCGACTCAGTGGAAGTGCTTTTTGCACCCTCACACTTCCATATTTCACAACTACCCTAGCATACAGTATTCCCATTTTAGAAAGACATATAGATCCAGAAAGTTGTCACAAGCCAGATGTCAAACATTCAGCTATCACAACACATAAAACACCAAAAGAACTCTGGAGTTCTGTGCTCTATACAGACGTGATGCCTTTTCTCCCCCCACCACTAAAAATAAGCCAACAAGAGGTAAACATTGAAAATTGGGAAATGGAAGCTTCTGGTATAGTCTTTGTAGTGTGAAAGAGAAAAAAAAAACCCAAAGACTCACCACTTGGGCAGAATCTTTCCCGAGGAGCCCAGGACACAACCTGTGACCAGATGAATGAAGCGAATTCGACTTCTCAGCACTTTGATCCGGTTTCCAAATTTTCTGTTAACAACCTCAATCCGCCAGAAATCATTTGAATCCCCTGTCCCATTCTGCCACATAAATCAAGAAAAAAAAAATACAAAGAAAGTAAGATGACTAGAGAAGACATGTCAGAAAAAGGAGAGAGCCACCCTTTTAGATGCCATCATGTTACAAAGGCCAGAGACTAAATCAGCTTCAATGACGGAGGCAGGAAAGGGAACAAGAGGGCCATGGAACTATCCGAGGGGATGGGTTCTGCCCCAGCACTCACTATTACAAACAAAAAAACATAGTGTAACTCCTGGAATCTGAAGTCCAATCCTTCACTTCACAGGACTAGAGTTTAAATTCTATCTAAATAGACGTTTTTGCCCTCAAACCAAACTCAAGACATCACCCTGAGACAACAGAAATAGATTTGGGTCATTTGCATCCATTTCCTTGGCCATCTGGACACCTACTCATCTAAGCCAGAAAGGTCTGGCCTGGATAGTATACTTTGGAAATTTGGAAATTAAGACCATTGTGTCTAATTCTCTTGGAGAGGCCCCAAGAAACGGATGAAGTTCAGAGTCTTGGCTCTAGCATCAGTTCGATGAGCAAATAAAGAGTTGGGAGGTCCATCTTAAGGAATCTTGAATATTTACTGGCAAGGAATGTAGATGATAGTCATAAGTCTAACTGTCTACTAGTTGTTTTGTCTTCAAATTATTCCCCAAGCGATAAGTATTCATTCAGCTTCCTCTATTACTCGTATCACTTCAAGGTAGTAAAAATCCAAAAGCAATGTGGTTAACATCCCTCTGCAGAAGAAGAAAGTAATCCTTAAGAATAAGGCCAAAGAGAATTTGGGATCTAGAAGAGATAAACTTATATATTCATCTGGAGTCATACTGTGGGTCTGCGGCTCCTATGTCCAATGTGATTTTAAAAGGAACCAAACAGTATTCAAATTTGACATTTATTAAGTGTCAGAACATAAAAATTGCATGGTTATTATGGGAGGAGAGAGAAAGACAGCGACAGATTTCATAGGCTGCTTTTCCCACAGCAAGCCTAGCCAAAAAGTTCCCAAATGCTAAGAGCATCCCTGGGCAGTCTCCAATCCTTAGGAACATCCCAGAATTCTGAGGAGGATGTGTTACGCCACATGGCCTTGAGCCAGGCCCCACGATTTTTTACATCCTGCTCACATTCCAGTAGCTCACTTACTATGCCATAGCCAGTGACCTGATAGTGCTTCCGGGTCAGGGGGGCCTCATGATAGTGACTGTGCAAGTTCCGAGAAGTCCTAGAAGTTAAAAGAAAGAAGTGCCATTATTTTGAAGAAAAGAGATAGCAATGTTTCTCCTTTTACAAAGGATACTCAGAGTCATCTGTTAGAATAAGAAAAATTAGAATCTGATTATTAAATCCAACATATCAGGAACTTCTTGCCTATTTACTAATAATATCCAGAGAATTGCCCAAACCAGGAGGGACAAATGGCAGGAGTACTGGACTACATGCCCCAAAACAGGCTAACTTTAGGTAGGGAGCAGGCGGTAATGACTTTAACACATCTGGTGGTTCTGAAGCACTTAGTGTACAGGTGTGGGGAGGAGAGAATTTAAGTCTGTAATGTACACATGCCTAAAATAGGTAAACCTCCTCTCTCCCATTTGCTCTATTCCTATCATCAGTTTTATAAAGTGAGGATCTCTGGGGAAAGTGAGGGTTTAATTTGGCTTTTATTTACATTGTGCTTTTTATACTAGTTCTTATTTTTATCCATAATAAAAAATAAATGCTTTATAAAAACTTTGGAAATTTTCAAAATTAAAACTTAATAATCAATAAAGTTTAATTTATTAATAAAATTTAAATTATTTAATGATAAAATTAAAAAGTTAAGTAACCATAATCCTACTAACCAGAAAATCCACTGCTCAGCTCAAAGTTTTTCTGTTTAAAATCTGATTTTAAAAAAAAAAATCTGTATCTAATAATTCTAGTATACGAAACTTTTGATGGCTGCTTCTGTCTTTGTTCCTATTGATTCTTGCACGTGGTGTCCTATTTCCTTGTGTGTTCAGTTATTTTTTTACTATGTACTATTCACTGTCACTGAAAAACTGTCTATTAGAATAGATGACAATGTCTTTCCCAAAAGAAGACCTACATTTGCTTTTAGCCAGGCAGCTAGGAGACATTACTAGTCTAGGATCATGTTCATTTAAATTTATGGTTGGAAGATTTTGAGACCATCCAGTGAAATAAATTTGGGCTGCAAATCCGTATGAGGATCAACTAGTAGTTCTGACTTCTCAGGAACCAGAGATAGTGCCCCGCCACCTGATGCCTGAACTCTCCCAAGCACACTCTACTTGTACCTAAGCAACTTTTCCCGGGCATACATGGATAGGGCAGATTTACCCTTACCCTAAGCCTTTTGCGGCTCCAAATTTGGGGGAAGGATCACTTAATAAATTTACCACTTTGAGTTAGCCTAGAGCTTTGACTTTAAAACTCCCTCTCTCAAGAGGCATTCAAAACCAAAGATCAAAACTCAAGATTGTGGGATCAAGGCAGAAGTGGCTGCAGTGTCTCCTTATTTCTCTAGATTACCTCTTTCACTTAGATTTTGCCCTGGTAACTCCTTACTATCTTGTCAGCTCTACAATGCTTTTAAGAAGATGTTTTTATATTATTCCAGTTTTATATTTATATTCCAGTTTCTGTATTATTAGTCATTTGCAGTGAGAACATTGGCTAAATAAACTAGCTTGCCATATTTTTGAAAACAGACTCCTACATCTTTCTAAAGGCAGCCATTTAAGAAGCAGCTTTGGGCAACTCAAATTTTTTCTTTTTTCCTCTAGGAAAAGGGAAGCTGAAAGGTACATTAAAGTTCATAGCTCCCCAAAGCCAAAATAGGCAGGCAAAGGCTGGCCTGCTTATTTCATCAACCTTCCTAAAATGGTTCTATGCCCATCCTAGCACAGCAGCCTTGTTCCATTTACTAGAGACTCATCCAAATCTGACTTGTTTATTTCCAGCTTAAAAAGAACTCCCTACTTTGGGTGCCCATACCACTCATTTATCCCAAACAGCAAATTTACTTACTCTTTATGTTCTAGTCGAATGATGTCTCCATGTCTTACAAACTCCACTGGGAATGAAGGGTCTAGGGGATCTGCCAAGAGGAAACACGTATTGATATCTGAAATCATTCACTCATTAGGCAAGTACTGATTGAGTGCCTACTGGTAAAGAGTTATAGTACAATGTGGTATGTGCCAGAGGTACCAACAGAGTGCTGTGAGACCAGAGAGAAAAGGCCCCTGTCACAGAGGACTAACTAAGTCCTAAAACTAACGCTTGAAGTCTTTTAAAAAAGGGAGAGAATTTTTTCAGATGAACAAGTTGAGAAAAGGCATAGAGGCAGGAAATAACAACACTCATCTGATGAATGGCAAAATGGTTTCATATTGTTAAGGTGGGTGAGTAGGAAGGAGAGTGGGAACAGATGACTGTGTGAAAAGTGGGGCAAAACTATGGATGCCAAGCTAAGAAATGTAGCCTTAATCTGACAGGCACTGGAAGATTTTTAAGCTGAGAAGCCACATAGTAATAAGAGCTTTCTTTTAGTAGTAAAAACAGTTCCATAAATTAATCCCATGCAAATTACCATTTGCCCAGCTCTCCTCAAAATCAAATGTTAAACCCTGCAAATTTTGCCACTGATAATCCTGTCTCTGGCAATACACTTGCTAAGTGTAAGGCAAAGAAAATGATGAAATGATGCAAGAAAGGGACTACAGTTGACTGTTGAGTAACATGGGTTTGAACTGCGCAGATCCGTTCATATGTGGATTTTTTTCAATAAATACTGGAAATGTATTTTCTCTTCTTTATGGTTTTCTTAATAACATTTTCTTTTCTCTAGCTTACTTTATTCTAAGAATTCAGTATATAATATATATATAATATACAAAATATGTATTAATTGACGTTATCAGTAAGGCTTCTGGTCAACAGTAGGCTATTATTAATAGTTAAGTTTTTGAGGAGTCAAAAGTTTTACGTGGATTTTCAACTAGGCAAGGGGTCAGCACCCTTAACTCCCACGTTGTTCAAGAGTCAACTGTACTTCTGTGTCATCTAGAAGTCAAGACCAATCAGGATCTAGAAATGTGACGACAATGGAAAAGGAATCAGCATAAATCACAGCAACACAGAAAGATCCTTGCAAATTTCCATCCCAAACAGTGAGATACTAACAATCAAGGTCAGGAAGACAAATCTGTGAGCACAAATCACTAGCTATCAAGAAAATTAGAGAACTCAACCACAGAGATGCCCATTCCTACGTGGGCTTTTAAGGTCTTTTTAAAAGATTAATCAGCAAGATGACAAAAAAGTCAATGGGGAGGGAAGTTTTATTTCATATAAATTTGGCAGGGAGGGCATACATAGCCATCAAGGACTCAAAGACCATAGTCCACACAGTTCCCACTTCCCATAGTGCTTACAGCTATCTACCTTCACACACATCCTTAGTTGCTTGGGTGAAATGCAACTATTTTAACCTAGAAGCACAACAGAATAACAGACCAGGGATGTTTAAAGATTTGGCCCGTGCCCCCATGACTTTTGAAGTAAAGCTGGTCTTCCCTCATAACACTTTCCTGTGATAAACCACCTCAGTTTGGCCTGTTGAATCAAAACACAACCAATACCAGTATTAAAAAGGTATAGAAACAGACCCTGCTCAAGACTACCGTAATTTACGTTACTGAGGAGTAAGATGCAAAGACAGTGGTTGTGTATGCCACATTTCTAGACTAGAAACCACAGCAAGAAGAAAAAGTAGAGAAAATAAGAAAGAAGGTGAATTCAGATGAGCATCTGCCACTTCCCCGTAAAGGCTCAGAAGCAGCTGACTTGAGACAGGCTGAGCCAGGTGGTATTTGCTGAGGAGTCACAGAGAATACCTGTGGCATAGGACAATCTGCAGGGGCTCAGAAGGTGAGTGGGAGATGCCCTCTGTTCCCTTTGCAGTTGCAGCAGAAGGCACAGCCTGCAGGTAGCTAGCTGTCTGACCGAAAAAAATAAGATCCAGATATAGCCCATGTCATAAAGTATTAAGAGCCCAAGAGGTGTGCTTCAGAGCAACTTTGCCCAGGCCAGGCAGAGGCAGATCGGCAGGCATTGAGTGAGGCACCAGACATCAACCACAGGACTGGCAGGCCCTCAAATCTCCAACTAACTAGCCCAGTCCAGGGATGACCAGTGGGCAGCAGCACTCTATTATATCAAGACAATTAGAGCTGTACTATGTGCTGGGGTCTGCGATGCTTGGTGTGCTCTAAATTAGAAATGAGAGCAGACACCATGTACCTCAGCTGGGGCTATTCACCAGCCTCTGGTGGCATGTCCTGGTAACCTCTTCTGGATTAATTCTGAGTCTTGGCCCTGCTCTCTGGCTTCAAAATGACAGGTCTAAGAGCGAGATCTTATCTGTCTTGCTCACTGCCAATCCCATAGGCTAACAACAGCACTTGGAACATAGTAGGTACACAATAAATAATTGTCAAATGGGTAATTGAGACAGTAAAGACATTGTCAAAGAATGTTCAAGAAAGCCCATCTCAGTATCATTCTTTTGGAGGCATGAGAAATGTTAAGAGGAGCTCAGAGAGAGTAACAGCATAAGAAATATTGGTTTCCAATCACATTACCTGAGTTTGTGTTATGTTTCTTGATAATCCACAGGTTGTTATAGTCCTTGTGCAAATAAGTGGTGACCTGGTGTTGGTGGGGAGTCAGGGGTAAGAACACCATCACTATCAGTACAGCCGGCCACAGGACAATCAACAGCAAGCCAACATTGCTTAACCTCTTTTAGAAACCCCAACCACCAAACTGAGGGGCCAAGTTTCCCAGCAGGACTCAGAAGTAGCATGGGTAAGTGAGATTCTGTTCTTCCTTCTGCATTTAGAGGACTTTTCCCACAAAAGTCTATGTTGTTCCTTCTGCATTTAGAGGACTTTTCCCACCAAGAGGTACTATTGCTTTTCCCCAATTTAAAGATGAAGATACTGAAACACAGAAAGGTTAAGGAACTTTTGTTCAAAGTCATACTTTAGTGGAAGCAGGATTCAAACCCAAATAACTTAGTCTGGTTCCCAGATCTGTGTTTATAACCACTAAACTTTACTCCTCATCCATCCTGTGCCAGGTACTGTGCTAGACACTAGAGCCTCCCAAAAGCTAAAAATTAAGGAGCAAAGAGACAGAAAGAAGGATGCACTCATAATTCAGTGTAAAAAGGGTTACTACACCATCTTGTAAAAGGTGTCAAGAAAGCCTGTCATTCCAGAGGCACTTAATCCAGTACCAAGCAGAGGTGGGCCTATGGTGGTCAGAGGGGAACACCTAAGCTGAAGCCTAAAGAAGCAAGGGTTAGCCGGAGGAAAGAGGGAAGGGTGCGGGAAGAGGAAGAACGTTTCAAGCAGGGGAAACTGCTCAAGCAAAGGATGGGAGGCGAGAAAGAGAATGGCAAGTTCAGACCCAGCAAACAGTTTAGTATTGCTGCAATACAAGCGCACAAAAGGCTCGCTGACCTGCTGCTGGCGGGCGCCAATGCCCTCAGGGTAGAGGTGCCTGTGGGAGTGGAGATAGCCAATGGCCATCCGCAGGTTCTTCACGGTGATCACAGAGCCGTAGGCCAGGTCTGGAAGGAAAGCAGGCAGTGGAGGGTGTGAGCGGGCACAGCGCGAGAGGCTGCCCATGACTGGGAGGGGCCTCCCAAGCCACAGGGTTCACCAAACCTGCTTACAAACTCCACTGGGCCCGGGACTGCCTAAAGCAGGCAGGATGCACAGCTGCCTTCTCACTCATACTGGTCAGCTCAAGAGAGAGCTCAGTACAGGGTCTAACTTGTACCCCACCGCCCAGTTCCCTTCCTCCTAAGGCTTTCAGAAGAAGCTTAGTATTAATGATGTTATTATTAAAACCATTTGTAACAGCAAAAGATTAGAACAAACTTGTCCTTCAGCCAAGGTCTGGACATACATTCAATGGAATGAAGAAGCATTTTATGTCTTCACCTGGAATGTGCTCCAAGTTATAATGTTATGAAAGATGGTTAAGATGGACTTTCCACGATTATTCCTTTGTGTGTCTCGAATCTAATCTCATATAATGTAACTGTTCAAAGGTATTTTGGTGGGGTTTTTTTACTCTGAATTAAAAAAAAAAAAAAGGTCTCACTGCACCAGGATGGCTTACTCCTGTCTTCCTCTGTTCATTCAGTTGGTCAACAGACTGTACCAATTACACAGTAGATCCAAAGTGAAGGAGGCTGGCTGTAGCCCTAGTGAGCCTAGTTTGGAAAAAACAGCTTCATACACTGATGAGCACAAGACAACGGGCAAGTACTCCAGCAACATGGTGGGAGCCCAGAGCAAGGTAGGATGAACTCTCACCCAAAAGTAAGAGGATGGCTTGATGGAAGAGATCACAGCTCAGCTAGATAGCTTTCCATTGGATATCTCCCTCCTCTAATTCCACCCTCTCCATTGTCATCCTTTACTTTGCCACCAGAGTCACCTCCCTACAGCACAGCCTTCCTGGCCTCCTCCTTGCCCAAACACCTCCACTGGGTCTCCACTGCTTGTTTAATGAAATCAAACACCTCATCCAGACGTTTCGAACCCTCATAATCTAGGCCTAACCTATCTTTTCAACCTTATCTTCCATCACTTTTCTGCCTATAACCTGTGCCTTTTGCTGTCCTTGGCCTTGATCATTCTGTCTTTTCTGCCTGATATGTCCTCTCCTCCCTCTCCATCTGTTGAAATCTACCCATTCTTCCAGGGCCTGACTGCAAGGCAACTCACTCTATGTACCTCTGATCCCCTCCAACCCCCAGAAGTGATCTCTCACACCCTTTGTTCCCCATAGTTCTGTGTTCCTTTTTATATACTTAACACATACAGTCATATCATGTAGAGATCCTCTACACTAGACTCTTTACTCTAGAGGGCATCCATCTACAGCCTCCAATGTGGCTAACACTTGCTCAACTACTATCTGTGAATAAGTAAATAGATGTGAGTCGTAGAATACCATGGGGGAAACTGACCAGTTGTCCTGGAAGGCCTTGTTCTTTCACCAGATTCTCTCTGGTTGGCCTTTCCACAGAGCTGGCTTGGGTGCCTCCACAGCCCCAATGGAGAAGTTACTCTTTAGGGTCACAGAGGCTGCATTCAAGATGTCTACCTCTGTACTTCCTGTGTCCCAACTCACTCTCTTGAATATTCATACTAGAAATAACTGGATCTTTCTCCCACTTTGCCATCTATAGGCTAAATTAACTCAGGCTATCATATTCATCTTTTCAATTCAATTCCCAGGAAACTCTTTTGCCCTTCTATCTTCGTAAAGACCAGGAAGGAGACACTCACGTTCAGGGATGGAAGCATTGTGGAGGTTGTTTCCTGCAAGCCGGGCCTGGAAGGCAGAACTGAAGAAGCCATCGCCAGGACCACTGTGAGAAAGGCGGAACAGAAGAGGGCCAAGTAATAGAATGAAATCGTCATTTCCCAGGAGCCCAAGAAAGAGCCCTTCTCGGTTATTTTAAAAGAAGTGTAATATCACGAGATACACATGGGTGATCTCAGAGTGGCAGTGTGATATCACAAGATACACATGGGTGATGGGAGTATAAGAAACTGGAGTTCAAATCCCAACTCAGCCACTTACTAGTTCCGTGACCTTCGGAAGATACCTAACAGTGTTTAGCCTCAGTTTCTCATTTATAAATTGGGGATTAAAAAAAAAATCAAAAGAACTCAAAAGTGATTATGATTAAATGAGATAATATGTACAAAACACTGAACATAGTTCCTAACACTTAGTAGCTACTCATTAAATGGGAGCTGCTGTTGGTGTTACTGTTATTATTGTCCTCACTCCAACTGCACACTCTTATGGTGGCCCATCCCTGCTTAAGCACAAGGGACTTTGCTTAAGGATAAGGGTCAGTTTGGCTACTAGGAAATTTTCCTCTTCCTTCCGGCTAGGGTGCTGGCCTTTCTGAGCCCTTTGGATATCCAAAAGACAGAACGTAGGAAACAAACAGGAAAAATCTCTTGGGTCCCCCTCCTATCATCCCACCTACAGACTGAGGAAATCACACCACCCAACCATGGTCTTAGAGGAAAGAGGAAGACCAGAGCAAGGGGCTGAGAAGGCTCTGCTGTACCTTTTATTCAGCACCATGAAGTGAACAGCGTAAGTGGCCGTGTAGAGAGCAAGCGGCAGCACTATGAGGCACAGGATGCGAGCAGTCAGGTGTTTTCCCATAGTCACCTGCAAACAGAACCAGTGTGGGGTGCTGGGCATAGGGGGCTTTGTTATTCCTGATGCCTTATATGTGCATTATATATAAGTTTTTATGTATAAGTCATAATCATCAAAAAATTGAAAAACTAGTGGCCGAAAAGAAGTATATGTGGAAACCCTAAGTCTTTCCATAACACTCCATCACCGAAACAATGAGGGAACTAAACATGGGCCAGCCCTCTGCTGGCTGTCCAGGCCCTCACCCAGGACCCCAGACTGTCAATGCACTGACAAGGCGCTGTCTATACTATCAGCATCACCACTCATCAGTCCCCTCTACATCCCAGTCAGAGTCTTTACACTTTCCCCATGCTTCCTGTACTGTGCCAGGCCCACCCATCACATGGTTAACTGCTCTTTATTTTAACTTCAGGCTTCCACTTCCTCTCAGAAGCCATCCTAGATCATCTGAGACTGTGTTCATGCCCTCATCTGTGCTTTCACAGCACTTACTGGCTGGACTGTAATTGCCTGCTTGTTTACTTCTCTCTCTCCATTGTCTCCAGGGGGCTTTATTCATCTTCATATTCTGTGTCTGACATTTAGTGGACAGTCTATATGTTCTGAATAAATAAATGTACTTGTTGGGACTTGCTACAGAAGTAATGGAGAAGCATTACAGTAATATAAGGTCTGCAGCCAGCCTCCCCTAAGTTTGAACCCAAGATCTGCCTCTTACTACCTGTGTGAACATTACTACCTCTCTAGGTCTCGATTTCCTCTTGTATAAAGAGAGAGTTATAACTATCTACAGCATAGGACTATTATGAAAAGAAAATGAGATAATGAAGGTAAAGCATTTTGCATAATGCCTGGCACAGAATCAGCCCTTAATAACTAATACTGTAATAAACCCTAAAGGCTCTTCCTACTCTCCAAATCTGGAGAGCCTGGGTCAGGAAAAGAAAACCGTGAGTTCGGAAAGTCACCACATCCATTTTACCTAAGGTCCAAGGCAGTCAGTATCTGCTATATATTTGGCATGAGCACAGCTAGACAGAATTCCCTGGCTGGATAGTTTGTAGAGTATTTAAACAATATTACAGAAACAAATGCCAAAAGAGTTCTAAGGATGTGAGTCCATCCTCTCCCTTTATAGCTCTCCAGCCTCTCAGTCCTGGCCCACTCCCTGCTGTCGTGCTGCCTACAGCGGACAGCTGGATCCAGCCCACCGGGTGCCCAGAATACAGCCCCTCGGCCACCTACAGCAGAGGTGGAGAAAGGCCGCTGGCTGTGCTGAGCAATGCTGGGGAGCAAAGTCATTTCTACAAGCACTTGGGTTCTCACCAATGAAAGACTGAGGTCTCCAAACAGGTGCCAAAGGTCTGAAATGGTGTTCCACCCCACTTGCAGGATGATAAAGAGGCCAACAAACTTGACCCCTAAAGCACCAGCCAGATTAATGCCAGTCAGGCTGAGCCAGAACCACCAGGGGGCAGAGAAGGGCCTGAAAACCAACAAACACAGAGTTCAGTTTGGCAGCTGGAACCGAACTCAAAAGCAAGAGCAACAGCAGGACAGGGCAAAGGTTCTCTGACGCTGAAAGGCTGTGCTGTGCCCTCTATTTGAGGGCTCCTAACAGCAGAGGACCATGGTGGCTCCAAGGAGGATGTGATCTGTGAAACCCCTGAAACTGCAGGAAGCACAGTATGAGAATGAGTAGGATCTTTTTTGGGTAGCAGGGCCATAGCTTTCCTGGCTAAGTACAAAAGTAAAGCAAACAAGAGGTTTATTCTTCAGCAGTGATCAATCACGTGGAAGTCAAAGGAAAATTGAGAGAAGCCTGCTGGATTCAGACAGCCTTCTCTTTTGTGTCACTCTTGGACTTTGGAAAAGCCAGCATTTATTGAGTGCTTACTGTGTGTCAGGCACTGTTCCAAGTATTCTAAACATATTAACTCTTTAACTTTCACTACAATCCCATGAGGTAGATCCTATTATTATCCTCTTTTAATACATGAGGTAATCAAAGTACAGAGAAGTTAAGTAATATAGCTAGCAAGTGGTGAGGCATGATTCCAACCCTGGCAGTTGGGTCCAAGGTTCGCTACCCTTATAGAACTTAGTAAACCGTGCTGCAATTTTCTGATTATCTGGCTGCCTCCCCTGCCAGAGTGAATGCTCCTTAACAGCCAAGACCTATGTACCTCTGTATCTCCAGCTCCTAGCACAGTACCTGGCACATAGCATGCATTCAAGAAATAGCAGGTGGAAGTGGATGTGGTAGAAGATGATAACCCAAAGCCAGAGAGAACTGGCAGTCACTGGATCAGGCTTTATCAGCATAACACAAGTTAATGAGCTTTGCCATGCCATGGTGAAACCAAGTTACTTCTGAAAAGCCTAGGCGGAATCAGCTCTTTTGGTTTAAATAGAAAGAATAACCTATTCTCTCATAGGTAGAGAATGATCTGGAAAAGACTGTCCTAGGGGAACCGGGCTCTCCAGAATAGCTTTTGAACTGACCACGGCCTGCAGGGATTCTCTTGACTGCTATGGACATTCAAACCAACCTTTATGTACATTATTCCCGTCGTTAGGTCAGGACTGGGTAGAACTACTGGGTAGAACTACTGGGTAGAACTACTGGGTAGAACTACTGAGACAAATAGTTCCCAAATGGTATCTATGCTGGTACCCTCCCCTCTAGGATAAGGACTGTGAAAGATAAAAGTGGTCCTAGGATCTCCTAACCAGCATCAGTGTCAAGACGTAACTTATAAGATGGTGAGTGGGGGAAAGCATTAGGACCCCCTCCGTAATATCCACAAACCCCTGATTAAATGCATTCCCACTGTAAAAATGATAATACTCTTGAAAAAGACATTTTCTTGGTCTTATGTAAAGCAAAAGTATCTATAGAAAACTTTTTAAAATCTATTTTTATGATCTAAATGGGCCATCTAAGTTAATTAAAAAAAATGTCGGCTTGCCTTAAACTCAGCTTCAAGGCAAGCCCTCTAGGTATCCACCATTATCCCTGACCATTATAAAAATTCTGAAGCTGCTACAGCTTCTAACCCCCTCCCCTGCCCGCCAAAGATGGTGTTTCTGACCTGTCAGCACAAGAGTTGTACTTGACCATGCTCAGCATGGCAGCCATGATGAAGAACATCAAGATGGGGTCAAGGAGGATATACTGGGACAGAGTGAGGCATCCTGTGTCTGAAAAACATGAACTCAGTGGTCAAAAAGTAGAATCATAGATGGGCCCCCCTGAGAACCAAATACCCCAGCAATAAGAAACAGTCCCCCTGGCGCTTAATTTGCACATAAGCATTTGTGCATTCAAGACTAGCTGGGCCACGGAGTCATCACTGAGTCATCAGGGAGGTAGAAGGCCACAGCTTTGGGGTACACCAAAGCCCAACGGTATGAAACAGTATCTCACACTGTTTCCAGCCCCTCACCCAAGAAAGGAGCGTGTCATTCATTCAAATAGAGCAGTCCTGAGACAAGGGCTCTTGCTCATTTCTGCCATCAGAAAGGGAGTTCTGCCACCCTGCTATGCAGCCACAGATGACCTACACCTAGGACAGAGTCTTACCATTTTATATGAAGTCTCTGTTGGGAGTTGATTCTGCTTGCAGGTACCAAAGTGGCTTTTTTAAAGAAAATTTTATTACGTCATGCCTCTGCTTAAACCCTCCAATGTCTTCCCAACTCACTCAGACTAAAAAACTCCTCATGATGCTGCCAAAGCCAACATGGTCTCCCTACCTATCCAACCTCCTCTCTCAACATCCTCTGCCTCACTCCTTCTACTCTGGCCACACTGGCCTTCTTGCTGTTCCTTGAATCCAAGTACTGCCTTGTACCAAGACCACTGCACATGATGTTCCCTCTACCAGAAAGAATACTCTTCCCTTAGATCTCTGCATGACATAATCCTTTGTTTCACTCAGGTGTCTGCTCAAGGCCACCTCCTCAGGGAGCACTTCAATGACCACCCTACCTAAAACAGAATGACGCCCCATAACTCTATTCTTTATTTACTCTATTTTCTACATTGTACTTATAGCTTAGGATATTACATTACAGACTTATTAATTTACTGGCTTATTGTCTGCCCCACTAGTGAGTAAGCTCTAAGAAAACAATGTCTCTCATCAGCATATCCTGAGGCCAAGAAAAGTACCTATCGCAGAGTAGATGCTTTAAAAAATAGTTGCTGAATAAAAAATGAATAAATGACTGAATAAATAACTAAAATGGAAATTTAAAAGACTAGGAAAAAGCCTCTAGTCTTTTACAGAAAGGCCCTATGATCTTGCAACATACCTATCAAAACAAAGCCAGAATCATCCATAAAGTACCCACCTAAATTGTTCTGGATTAAGCTCTATGAAGTCATGAATTCGCTTTCAGAACAAGGCTGGCAATAGGATCAATTTCTACAGATCAACTCTCATTTATCCATGTAAGGATTAGCCACAGAAAATATTTAAGTTTTCCTTTTGCTATCCCCCTGCTACCCAGCTACTTCTGAGACATCTGCCCTTGTATTCAGTTAAAATTAATTTAAGAAGAGTAAACTAATCCTGATAATAACCTAAGAAAAGAAGAATTAAAATTGTAAGCTTCCTTCAAACACGTACGCACAAATTTACCTTATTATCCAATCCAAACTCAAATGGGGATAACTTGGAGATAATCTATTCCTTGGGATTACCCATGGCAACTCTCCCCTCTAATAAAGGTTTGCTACATAAGGTATTTATATATGTATTACATATATAATGTGAATAAAATGAGATTTGTGATACATTTACCCAATCCTAAAGTTACTTGAGAACTGGGCCTATAGACAGGACCTTTGAATGTGCTGACTTCCAGCTACACTCACAGTGTGGCAGTCAATTTCCCAATAAACATGGCATAACACAACTTACCAAAGGTGAGGAGGGCAGCGGTGAGCAGCGCTGCCGGGAGGGACTTGGATAGCTCCAGCACAATGAGGTAGGCAAAGGGGATCAGCAAGGAACCAAGGGACGCACAGAACTATGGGAGAAAAAGAGAAACAGTCAAATAATCAGCTAAGCTAAGCCTCAGGAACCTACTTGACTTGGTACCAACAAATATTTAAGATGGAGAGCCCTAATAAAGGCATGAGTTGGTGACCTAAAATTACCTGGAATATGTATAAATGAGAAAGGGGGTAATATAACAGTGAAGCATCGAATCAAGAAACATTTGTGTTCCCACTGAGCACCAACTTTTGCACTGATAAAAAATCAGCAAAGTTCAGCCAGGAAGGTGTGAGCAGGACAGCACACTGGTTTCAAGTGGGGGATGCTGGGGTTGGACTGCCCCCATCACTGCTGTGACCCTGAGAAAGTCACATCTCTGTATCTCAGCCTCCCCATCCATGTAATGTGAATAAGAGTTCCTACCTTACAGGGTTTATTCTGAAGATTAAATGACCTAAAGTTTATTAACACACAGGAAGTACTTGATAAACAGCCTCTATTACAAAACTGTGGGAACAAGTTATGAAAGACCTCTCCGAAGGTGTTTTAATATTCCAGAGAATTCTAATGTTATTTCTATTATTTTTCCCTTGGCCCTTTTCTTCAATCATGCCAGGAATCTCTCTTTAATCTACAGGTTGTATTTTGACTTTGGAAAAGAGATTGCTTAACACTTCAGTATCTGGAGGGTTTTGTTTTGTTTTAACCACCAGCCTTCTTTCTACCTCCCTACCCTGTCCATCAAAAGTAAATAGATATAGTCTATGGCCATTTCACCCTGAACATGCCTGATCTTGTCTGATCTCAGAAGCTAAGCAGGGTCGGGCCTGGCTAGTACTTCGATGGGAGACCACCTAGCAAGACCAGGTGCTATAGGCGTTAAAAAAAAAAAAAAAAAGTAAATAGATAAGCCCAAGGGAATAGAAATTCTCACATTTGGGTTGTCACTTTTTGTCAACAGAAAGCAATGTGCCCTAGTGTGAAAGAAAATGAGGCTGTTATATTTGGCTTTCTCAATTTCCACAGCAAGTTCACAGTGAGTCAGTCATGCTATGTGGTGTTCAAAAGTCATTAGGAAGACACAGAATCACTTAAGAATACAAATCTGAGGGTATGGGACACTCCTTGTTTAATATGGTATATGACCATGCAAAGCATCCAATGATTAGCCCCAAATAAGCACTTAGCATTAATCTAAAGTGCTTTGATCTCTTCAAAGAGAGGAGTTTGAAAGTGTAACCTGCTCTGAGAGCTTCACATTGGAGGTCAGTTTATTCAGGTTTTATTGAGCCACAGGTATAGGGTCGCCAGAGTTGGGTGTTTAGGCCCTGCTATATACTCCATCAAGGCTGATGCTGAGACTCAGGGCACACAGGGACTGGTTGAACACATGGCCTCCCTTCAAAGCCTAGAAAATTCCTTGTGTGTGCCTAAAACCTTCATGGGAAAGAAGCAGGAACCTGGTGACACAGGTGTGGGGTATTGAACCATAGGAAAAGGCCCTCAGAGGTAGACAATACTCCAGCAGTTGTGGTTGGAGAGAGGAAGAACACGTAGCTTGACAATGTGCTGAGGCCAGTGTTGGGGCTACAGGAGACTCCTAGCTGCCTAGGTCCCAGGCTGCTCTGCAACCTGCAATCTGATGCCTCGCGTGGGCAGGATAACAGGTGAAAGGATGGGCTTGCTCTAACCTATGCAATCTCCTTATTATCTGTGACCTCCCCTTCTCTTCTTACCCATCTCAGTTCTGAATCTCTACTATAGGGTGTGGGTCTAATCATCTCCCCCCTCAAGTCCATTTATCTGTGTAGACCTGCCACCACACCAGGGCTTCCACTGTAATGTTTCAGACTGAGTGTGGCCCCAGGATTCAATGAGGCTATATCAGGTCAGGAAGCCTTACTCTTCTCATTCCCATGTAGTTGTGTTGCTCGTATTTGTCCCCAGGCCTCTGGAACATAAAGGTACCATCATATCCACTCAGGTAGCCGGCAAGACCTATCAGCATCTGAGGAGAGAAACAGAATAAAGAAAAAGATGAGAGACCTTTGAGAAAGATTCCTCTATCCCCTGAACTTCCATCCAGCTGCATCCAGGCTTTGGCTTCCCTTGACAACTAACTGTCCATAGGAGTTGCCAATGAGACATTCTCTCCTGCAGCTGTTGCAGTGCAAAGAATCTCTTCTCTACAGAGCGCATTGCTTGAAACAAATCACCTCTTGTGTTTAATGCCAAGTTCTTGGGAACAGTGCAGATTGAACACTGAGAAAGAAAAAAATACCACAATTTGAAGGGCAGAGTCAGTGATGGGCTCTCTTATTCAGCTTTCTTTCATTTGCTATGAAATAAAACAGGACAGCTTATGGAGGAGGCCATGGGCAGGGGCTGATTCCTGAGCAATTGGCCAACTGAAAGGAAAATGAGGTTCCAAGTCCGAATGAGAAGGGAGAAAAGTAGCCAAGTTGCTACACATCAAGAATAGAGAGAAGGAAAAAAAAATGGAAAAGACAGTTGCGTATCCCCTGAGGGGAAGAGAAACGTCCCAGAGGAAAAAATGCCAAAAGGCTAGAGACTGGTTTCTTCTTTTTCCAGTATTCCAAAGGGAAGCAACCTTGACACATCCCAAAACAGAACAAATCAACTATAAACTAAGACAAAGAGTCAAAACATTCGAGGGGATGAGCCTCTCCATTTCTATCTTTCCTTGGCTATGAACAGTGTAAAATTCTCTTTTCCACATAAGCAATTAGAAGCAGCAAACATAAAAACTGTCAGCAAATACCAAGCATCTGTAACAGCCCCAGGCTGCCCAGCCTGACCATGTTCCCGTTATAATGGCTGTGTGGCGCAGCAGAATACACTGGCTGTGTTGAGGGAAAGCCCTTCCCAGCAACACTACTAGTGGGGACTTGGATGTGGACCACTAAACAGCTCGCTTTTTTTCTCTAAGTAGCTCTAAACAGTCACTCTCTATAGTTCCATGTATAGAAGCCAAAGTTCAGCAATAAATGATTATAAAGCCCTGTTTTGTTTTGTTTTTTTTTAAAAAAAACAAAAAAAAAGGAGGAATTCCTGGGTCCAGAAGTTAATTTAATTAATTTAATATAAGGTAATATAAGGTATTAGAAAGATAGAGCCATCCAAATACCCAGATGAACTAAAACTGACAGGTAACAATCAAAATGGATGCACATTTCTACCTGGGATCTCAGAGGACAAACCTGTCTGGTGCTGGTCTAAATTCCTAGACTGCTTGGCTGGTCTGGTAGAGTGAAGAAATGGACAGATGGTATGGATCTCAACGCCCTACATGCTAGCTCTCTGATAGTGGACAATAATTACTATCCTGATAGTGGACAATAATTACAGACAACAAAACTTTCCTTGCAGGGAGTTGTGAGGATAAGAGGTGATGTTGTAGGTAAAATACCTGACACTATGCCAAGAACTTAAAAGGAACTCAAAATTCCATTCCCTCTCAGTTCTCTTAAGGTTAAAAGTAGCCCTGAGCTAATTTCCTACCTAAATAACTCATTCAAACCAGTAAGATAAAGAACCTACTAGAAAAATGGGCAAATTCATAGAAAACAAAATACAAATGGCTAATAAACATATTTTAAAAATGTTCAACGTAACTCATAAAGACATGCAAATTAAAATACTGATATACCATTTTTCACTCTCAAATTGGCAAAGTTTTAAGAGTATAATCATACCAGTGCTGGCAATGGTATAGAGGAAGCAAACACCCTCATGCACTGTTGGTGAGACTATTATTACAAGATTTTTTCAGGAAAACTTAGGAATATCTAACATAAATTTAAATACCCATTTGACTCTTTAGCTTGCCTGGTGAGAATCTTTTAGATATACCTATATGACTATGGAAAGATAAATATATAAGGATGTTCATGCAATACCTTTTGTTACAGCTAAAAACTAGAAATAACATAAATGTCCACCAACTGAAAAGGGATAAAATAATTTATGGCACATCTGTATAATGAAATAATATACAGCCATTAAAAAGAATGAAGTACATTTTTATACGCAATTGTGGAAAGAAGTTAAGATACACCATGTTTAAAATACAAATTGCTGAACGATTTTAGTCTGATCCCATTTGTATAATGTGTTATTTATGTGTATATATA